AATGTACAAATGTGCTTTACACAATTGATGTATGTATGGATTGTGATAAGAGTTGTATGAGCCCCAATAAAATGATTAAAACAAACAAACAAAGAAAGAAAAACATGGCCTTGAGATAAACTTTAAAATCAAATGATACAATATTTCAGGAGAAAAACTTCTTCATCGCAAATAGCTTCTTTGAAAAACAGAAAAGGTGACATATGAACTGCTCGCTCCAGGTGGACAGCACAAATCAAAGTGTCTACATCTGCTGGAACAGACCATGCAGAAGCACAATATCAGCAACTAAAACGAGGCCAGGATTGACTGTGGAACAGATCCCCACTTACTCTGCTCAGGTTGAAGCTGAAGAAAATTAAAACAAGTCCATGAGAACCAAAATATGACCTTGAGAATATCCCACTTGAAAATCAGGAACATTGCAAGAACATATTTGACACATTGAACACTGACAAAAGACCTGAGGTGTGTATGACATCAAGAACATCATTCATGAAGAAAGCAAAAGGTCATTAAAAAGACAGGAGAGGAAAGATCAAAGTGGATGCCAGAAGAACTCTAAAGTTAGCTCTCTTTTTTGGTGACATTGTTTATAATTTATTAAAAAGCTTCCCTGGAACAGCATTTAATGCTGATTGACCACATATACTTCTCTGTTGTCCTCTTCCTACCTCAGTCCCTTTTGTTTTCATCCATTTCTTTCTTTCTCTCTTTTTTCTTTTTAAATCATTTTATTGGGAGATCTTATGGATATTATAACAATCCACCATTCAATTAGATCAAGCATAATTGTACAATTGCTACCACCATCATTTTCAAAATATCTTCTTTCTTCTTGAACTCTTTGATATCAGCTCCCCATTACCTCCTCCCTCCCCACCCTAACTCCAGAATCCCTTATTATTCTATTATTATTGTTTTGCTATATCTCACACCATCCAATGTATCCATTCACCTACGATTCTATTGTTCGTTCCCTTTGAATGGGGTTATACAGTCCTCATTGCTATTGGTTTTCCCTTCTTCTCCTTCCCCATTCTCTTCCCATACCCTCAAGGAATCATTATATGCATCACTATTTCTGAAGGGTTTATCTAATGTATTAGTCTGGGTAGACTAGAAAAACAAATCCAGAGACACTCATATGAAAGAGCTTTAATAAAAGAGCAAGTGTATATTGAGAAAACATCCCAGTCCAGTCCAGATCAAGTCCCTGAGTCGAATATTAGCCGATATGTCCAATACTAGTTCATAAATTTTTATTTAAACTCATGCAACACATGTAATGATGCTAAATTCAGGAAAATCACAGGTCAGTGGATGGAAAGTCTAGTGGATCCAGTGACAGTGGAAACATCTCAGCTGGCAGGGGTCTCCATGTGGCTCCTCTACCTCTAAGATTCTGGCTCCATCAGCATAGCTCCATGTGGCTGGTCAGCAGGAAGATGAAGCAGTGAGTGTGTGTGTCTCACCTCCAGGGAGGAAGACAGGAGTTCCCAGAATCCTCAGGAGATGGCTTTGCACACCCAGAGGCCTCATTGGCTGTGACCTGATTGATAGGCTAAACTCCACCCCTTTGCAAGTTGACAGATTTTGTAACTGCCACATCTATCTTGGATTTCATGCATCGAACAATCTTAATTATACAAATGAACCTACACAGGTCTCACAAGATTAATGAGGTAAAATGAAGACCATAACAGCAGGGGGAGGAAATATTAAAACACTAAAGT